CTCCTCCTCCTCCTCCTCCTCCTTCTTCTTCTTCTTCTTCTTCTTCTTCTTCTTCTTCTTCTTCTTTTCTTCCTCTCTCTCTCTCTCTCTCTCTCTCTCTCTCTCTCTCCCTCTCTCCTTCCCTCCTTCCCTCCCTTTCTGTATGTGTATGTGTGTGGGGGGGCAGGCAGTCATGTGGAGGTCAGAGGACAACTCTGTGGAGCCACTTTTCTCCTTCTGCCTTTATGTAGTTTCTGAGGATAGATCAAACTCAGGTCACCAGGCTTGCTAGGCAAGTGCCTTAACCTGCTGGACCATTTTGCCTGTCCTTATCAAAAGTGAACTAAGAAGTAATTATTTTTATTTCTTTATTATCATAGAAAATCTGAACAAATATTTATCAATAGTAACAACTGGTCCTTTAATACTCATATTTTATACTATGTTAAGTACTTTGCAAATACTTTTTTTGGGAAACCTTGTAAAATACCCATGTGAAAACAAAAAAGAGATATGAAGGAATTGAATTAATAATTAATTCAGCCACATGATAAGTTTTTGATTAACCCTTTGGTCTATGATACACTGCCTATTTGTAAGACCCTGTTTTCAGTCCTGTAAAATTTACAAAAATTTCAGCCTCTTACTTAGCTCAGTACTACAAATACTCCCCAGATGAAATCTCTCTTGGTGGCTTCAAAGGTGCTTTAAAGTGCTCTTTAAGGGGATGGACAAATGATTAAGTGATTAAGAGCACTGGTTGTTGTTTCAGAGGACCTGGGTTTGGTTCCCAGCACCCACAGGAGGCTACAACCGCCTGTAACTCTGGCGTTCTCTTCTGACCTTTGCTGGCATTACACTTGCATGACACTGGTGCACTTAAACACATGCAAGCAATACACTTATACACATAAAACAGAAATAATAAGTAAAAATACTTTAAAATGTTTAGGAATAATATCTACATAAATAATTGTTTAAAAAGGAAATGGAAAAGATGTGTCATTTGAATGGGAGATCAAGATAGGAAGAACAGAAGTGCATTCTTATCCAGAGCCTTCCTACAGAATTCTTTGCCTTCTTGGATTGATGTTTCTTTCTCTGGAACATCAACAAAAGATGACTTGAAGGATCTTAACTCTTCCAATTCTAAGATTCTTTAATTTTAGGTAAGGCAGTACATTTCTATCACTGATTTATGAGCCAAGGAAAGACTGTTTTGTTGGAGTTGTTGTCCAAAGTGGCCACATTCTTATGACAGAACAAAATCCTTTTGAAGCCACATCACAAATGGTGTTTGAATCGGAGGTATACCCATTCATTTTCTCCATGGGCTAGGTAGCAGTTACTGTACATTTCTTGGTTTCTGATTTTTTTTATAAGGATTTGAGTTAGATGTTCATTTCCTTACACACCAGGAGCCTTGTTTATATATAAGGTCAAGCTCCCAAACTGTGAGGTATTTGAACTCTCTAGGAAGTATCCCGGGTATATGATTTAACTTCTGGTAGTGCTAGGCATAAATGGGAGCAGTGGAAAATGTGGAACAAGAAGGGATTTGACCAAACATTGGTATAAGGAGCTCAGTTCATTTCTGGACTGACAGCTTTTGCCAGACAGCTTATATCTTGATTACTCTTCTGCCACTGCTTATGTATGGTAAGACCGAATCTTGGCTTTGTCTTTCCCCTTGATCCAGTGTGTAGAAGAGCAAACGTTCTGTGTAAAATGGCCACATTCTTTTGTTGGTAAACTTGTTGGTCTCCAGTTTCAGCTGAGTTCTCAGGCTTCTTGTCAATGCTTTTACTTGTTCAAAGCTGTTGAATCTTCCAGTTCCCATACAAATGTGTACACTTTCACCATGCTTCCTCTGACCCCTTTTGGCATCCTCTTCTGTCTCAGAAGATGACCTTGCCGTTCCCTCACTGGGGACATATAGGTCCCAGGTGAGCCCTCCATCATCTACTGTGGTACCTACCTGCTTCTCTCTGCCCATATCCTCATTGGTCCCTCTGATCTCTCTTCCTGTCTCAGAACATGGCTGAACCTTTCTCTAGTCCAAGTCCTTTAGGCCATTGGTCTAAATTCCTGACTCCAGGGCTATGCTGAACTTGGATATCTCATTCAGGCAGAGCCATCTTGCTGGCCTTTGATAACATTAAAAAAATACATTTTTATTGATTCTTTGAGAACTTCATACAATGTATTTTGATTTTATTCAGAACCCCTCTCCCATATCCACCCATACCCTCTTAACTGCTCCAACTTTATTTTCTTTGTTACTATTTTTCTTTTTAAAAATGTATTAAGTCTGATTTGTGCTCCCCAAATGCATCCCTTGTACTCTGGTCAACCGAGTAGGTGTCACACCTTTAAAGAAAACTGACTCTCCCTCTCCTAGCAGCTATCAGTTACCAATAGATCCTCAGCTAGGGCTGTAGCTTCTTGCCTGTTCCCCGCCCCCCCACCCAATCCATGCTGGGTTCC